ATTTCCCAAAAGTTGTTCTCATCCAGGCAGGAGTGGACTACAGTTTCGACCTTGCCTCGGTCTTTTCAACACCCATAGCGGGAGTCGAGCCGTGACACTGAGGCATGTGAGCTTAACACGTCCTTCATCACCTCAAGCGAAATAGGGTGAATACATCTAATATTGTTGGGAGAAAAACCCAGTTTCTCTTCGTATCTATATCTAATAAAACTCATATATCTGATTTACTGGTAGTCTTTAAAACCTACTCACTCACGAAAAAAGTAATTTCCTCGATTGTTACAGCAAATATAAGTTTGTTTCATCCACAATCCCAACACAGAATGTAATATGGAAAATGCCTGCCATTCCTTGAAATTCTCATCTGCCCTGTCACTCAAGGGCACTCGTAGCAATATGCGTAGTGGGTATCATATCGAGATTACACGCTGCACTGTTGTGGTTCGACTCCCGCTTGGGGTGTTGTTAAGACCTATACAAAGTCGAAACTGCAGTCCACTTCAGTCTGGATGAGAACAACTTATGGGAAAGCAAGATTATGTGAAATTCAATGGACGACATCAGCTCTACTCATATCATTGTGGAAAAGATCAACTGCCGGTCGTTCATTATCTTAAATGAAATAGGATAAAACAACTAATATATAAAAGAGTATTTTCTTTGTTTGGGAATAGAATCGAAACAAATCCATGTTTAATCTTATAGGCCATTATACTCTCAGGTCCTAACATTCAAGGGTGCATTAAATATATATATATGTATATATATATTATATTATACAAATATGTGAGGGCATCTACAAAAGATCCTTTGATGCGAAGACTGGCAATGTATGATCGAGTGATCGTCCCTTCAAAATAGCCTCAAAAGAGTCTGAAAAGGGGGGCTTCTTCGTCAGAACTCCACCATTATCTCGCTGCCATCGGCGAAATTCTCATTATGTGAGTCCCACTGTGAAAGAAAGCGGTATAGTCCACAGACAAGGTGTGCCTGAAGAAAGTCTCCAGAAGTGAGCCTTGATGAAATGGACCCATTTTGTGGTCTATATGTAACTTTTTCAGACTTGTCTGCCCGATATGAGTAATGAATGGGCCTCTTAAAGTGTTGTGCTGAACGAAGTGTGCTTCGTTGCATCGGTGGAGGCCGGTTTTAACTACACATTTGTCTGCCCCTTACCCTTTGATCACAACGAAGCCAAGCCATCACCACGGCACAAAGTAGTCTGTTCCCATGCCAAGTAGACGGTCTTAAGGCAAAAGCCGTCTGCAACTGTTCATCACTGAAGCCGCCCAGCCCTCTTCGACCACCAACTCGGACAAGACGATGCTGCGGTACGACCATCTGCTGGAAAGCAACTTTTCGTTGCTCTTTCTGTGAGTGCAGCATGCACAAGAAGCTTTAACTTGGCATACTTGAGGCGAGAAACTCTAGTCTTGGCGCTAAAGTCGCCAATGCTACTTAGTGTGAACCCACTTTTCTAACCCAATGTCAGATGACAAAACACATCGGCCAGTCCCATTGCAAATGCACTGATAACCAACCACGCAAACGCAACTTATTTAACAGCCCACATCAGCACCTCTCAGAAAAAAACTAGGATAACAAATTGTTTCTTACATAAAAAGGGCTTACACGCAAATAGCAGCAAAATATTATGACTGGCGAAACGAGCATAACAACAGCCGGGTAAAGTCTGGAACCAGGAAATACGAACAAATCATGAAGTTGTTTCTTGCTCTGGATACACAAATACTAGGTGTTTTTTCATGAATTTCTTGCTTAATATGTTGGTATAAATATCAGGATGGTGTGTTAATAGTCTCATTTTGTGTATGGAATGAATCTGACCTTGTTTTCACAACTTGTCCTGGAGTCGGAGGTGGATAGGAAAACCTCCAAATTTGCCGTGGCTCCGCCAAGATTTGGCCATTCACTGGCTTTCCTTGCTCAAGATGTCTAAACTGGAATTCAACTTCAAAGGTTTTTTAAGCCGTTATGTAATTCGCCTGCCTAAGGGTCTACCTTTGTCGGGCTTGACTCCCAAAGTTAGGCCCTACGGGAATGGGAAAAGGCGGAGCTTAAGATCTACTGGTGAGGAAAACGGATTTTTAAGCTGCATGACACCATGAAATTACAAGACAAAATTAGGTGAAATTCCCCTACCCGGTTTTTTGTTTCATCAGGAGTGGACAATAAAGGGTGAGCGAAAGTATTTTTAAGTGGTTAAGATAAGTTAAGATTTCTTCCTCCTCATACGGAAAATGTAACTGGATTGGCATAAGGACTAAAAGAGCACAATCTCATCTGCGATAGATTAGTAGAGGTCTACGCCACTCAAAATGACGTATCAGTTATCTACATTTACCTCAGCTGCAGAAAGTTAACTCTTCATTTTCCGTCAAGGCCAAAACTTATGATTATTTGCCTAGAGATCACATACACACTCACAAAATGGTAAACAGAAACATTTTAAGAATATACCTTAACCGAAACTATGAAGATTAAGATGGTTTGGCCTCCTTTTATTTTATATGAGTTGTTTGACCTCTTTCATAATATGCTTGATAAGTCCCGTAGTCGAAACATGGGCTTGACACATTCCCAGATGACTTTAATTTTCTTGGGTAAGGTACAGTGTTGTGCTAAGAGTGGCAAGGCTCAGTAACGGTGCCGACGAAAAGTCTGGGAATGTCCCAAGTCCACGATCAGACTCTGTAAATTATCATGCATACTATGGAATCTGGTTCATTCCTCTAAGTTTATCTCTCAATATGACAAAATTGAGAAAACAAGGTGAAACAACTTAAAAATATTTTAATGCCTATCACCAGACTACTCACAGCACACAAATAAATAGAGAAAGTAATTAAGTTGAAAACGACGGTTCAAAGTGAGCGCAAACCTGCTCATATGGTTGCAATTATTTATCCTGTCAAGTAAGGTAGAATTTTTAATACACATCTTTAATTAGAATACTTAATGGCAGGCAAGGAAGAGTGTTTGAAGAATAATAGCGTTGCGAAGAGTTCCTTGTGGATACGTTGTGACAAGAGGTTCCAATTTGAAGTAAAAGTTGGTTGGAAGAAATTCGTGAACAGGAAACAGCAAAATGATTACTACAGAGTGAAGAATGCTAGATTGTACGAAGAAGTCCTCGACTCTATATCGTAAATTACGAATTCTTACTCTGACAATATCTTTCAAGGCTGTATAGACAATAGTTTAGCATAGGTTGTTTGGAATCCAAGGAGGGTGAGTTTAGGACTTCTTCGTACAATCCAACATACTTCACTCCGCCGCAATTGTGCTTCGGTTTCCCGTTAGATCATTTTGTGAATTTATTCCAACCAACTTTTCCTTCCAAATGGAAAGATATGTCAAAATAAAGAGTGTCCATTCTGACTAAGTAGGCCTCCAAACTACTAATAGGTCTTTGCTCGGCTAAGCTAATATAAAACTGATAGGATTTATGATGCCAGTGAATTTCACTCAGCCTTAATACACAAAAGACGTTCTCCTCCAAGTTGGACTGCAGTTTCACTTTGTTCCGGTGCTCTTCCGCGCCAACAACAGAATCAGAAACAGAATACTGCACTTAAAGTGGTCATGCGGGGAAGATACAATTGTCAGGGCAAGACAGGACTATCTCAAATCGCATTTATCGACCGATTGGTATCGCATGAACAGACTCGTATTTCTTATGGATGTGATTCCATTTCGGCAAAGTAAGTGATTCTTTCCTATTAACTTAGTCACCCTGGGCCACTTGTTGGAGAAACTGTAGTATCAGTGATTAAACCACTTTACGCGACCGAGAGTGATTACTTGTTGCTTTGATAGCCACTCTCATCAAAAATAAAAATAGCACCTCTTGTGGCAGTTTTAAAGAATATCCCACTCTAAATCTGCTTTCAAAGAGAATTCGCCAATCTTCAGACTTACATTTGACCGGTGACCCACTGGTACCCATGGCTGTGTGGTATACTGTCGTCAGGATGCCCACGACCTGGTTACGAAATTCCTTGTGGTTACTGAAGAAGTCGAATTAAGATCTAGAATGCCGTCCAACAACTTTTGGGGTGCCAGTCTAAGGGCACTTCAATGACATTGTGAGGACTCTC